AGAGAGAGAGAGAGAGAAAGCTACCCCTGAAAGAGCTTATTAACATATAACGTTTAAAGTCAATTTTTTTTCTTAAATTAAAAAATATTATGAACTCTTCTACGTCCATCAGCCTTTTTCTCAATTTTTAATCAATCATGAAACACGAAGCAGAAAATAAAAAACTGAAAAATTTGTTAAAAACTAAGCTTTAAAAAAAATTTCTAATATAAAGTTTTTTATATAAAAAGAGTTCATTATAGAGTTCATCAAAAATCAAAGTCAAAGACTGAAGGGTGGATTCCTACAAAGGTCGCAATCCCACGATACCGTGTTTTTAATAACATCAAAGGACTTTGTCCCGAAAATGCATTTGCCCGAAGGCATTCTGTATGAGCGATCGTGTGTGTTTGCAGGATTTGCTATCCTGTACATGTTGGTGACCGTACCACATCTACTCCCATGGAATACAAAGGGAACACTCGTGGGAATTCTGTCCTGGTGCCATTTGATCGGCGCTGTTAGTCCGTGGGTTGGATCCTTCCTGTATCATCTCTTCATGAACGTGAATTACGACGAAGTTTTCTACAGAACACTGCTGAAAGTCGACATGATCGGCATATGGCTGTGCCAGAGTTTCGGTGTGTGATCCATTTGTAGACAGAGGCTTTACGGAATGTGCCGAAAGAACATATACGACTAGAGTTTCGTTTTAATTTACGAAATTTTCTTTTGCATATGACTCTCTTGATATTTCAAGTGAACATTGTAGATTGCTATACTCGACTTCTACTTCGAACGAAGAAAGCTTTAAATAAGGAGTGTCTACAAACAGCTCTATAAATGGCAAATGGACGTTTTCCTATTTCATGCACGACTCATTTCAGGAGCTATACCGATGATGGCAGCTGCTGTTCATTGCCTTGCCGATAACGTCTGGTACTGCTGCATTTTTATTTATTGCTCCCTCAGTATGTGGGGACTTTTAAAGGTGATATTTTCTATCTTTACGTTCTACTCTAGTCGAACAAACTTGCGTGTCAACGAAACGTTTAAACGTTCACGTGATTCATAGGCGATGACTGCGAGATCACCGTGGGAAAGACGTTTATGTTTCGCCCCTCCTTTCCTAATGAGAATGCTGGTCATGGCGTTGAGGTGTTTCGGCATTGGTGGCGGATCACCCGAGGCTCTTACTCATATAATATTACAGGTTCATTTTCAATATGATCCCGGACATTAAATATGATACCGGACTAGAGATAATCCGGTGATGTTAAAGACAGAAATAATTTCCAGGATTTCATAGCTGTGATAGGTGCAACCATTGGCGCTCTTCGCATTCCAGAGAAGTGGATCCCCGGCCGATTGGATTTAGCGCTGAATTCTCATAACGTGATGCATGTAATGGTCGTCCTAGCGGTGTGCTCCATGCACACCGCAACCTTGAAGGACCTCGCCTGGATGTCCGATCCGTCTACGTGCAATAGAACAAGCCCTCTTCCTTCGGGTCGCGAAGAACTGTGATTGAATCATGAAGAACGCGACGGCTTGCTGCAGTCTGTGATAAATCGAGCCTATAACAACTGGCGATTAGTCGAGCGCTTCGACATTTGGAGACCAGAAAGTGCTGAATTCTATAATAGATAAATCTAAGGATATCGAAAATAGAATATATACATATTATTATATATATATATATATATATATATATATATATAT